ACCCTTTAGCTCTTATAGTATACGAGATATTTATGAAAATGTAGTGTATACACACACACGGGACGACATTTTTTAAAAATGTAATTTTTGGATTCCTGAGGTCAAAAAACATAAAGTTACATCAAAAAATCGAGTTCGAAAAATTTCGGTAAAACAATACTTCCTCCATGAGGAAGCAATAAACTTTTTCAAATTATTCCCATCGGGTTCAATTCTCTTAACACTACGATTCAGAAACAAGATTGAAATCGATAAAAAATTTGTTACTATCGTTTGATATTGATTTCTATCGATTTTTTCTAGAAGGGTTTTGTGAATTTTTCAACCATAACAATTAATGTTACAGTATAACTTTAATTTTTTTATAAATAATTACTTCAAGCTCACTGATAGTTCTTTTAAAAATGTTTGTTGAGTATATTAAATAATAATAATAACAATAATTTTCTTAAAGAGCACAAATTTTCTGTTTTTAATTACTATTTTTTCATTTAAAAAAATTTTCTAGTAATAATAATAATAATAAACATTCTTTACATGGCATGGAAACGATTTATGGTTCTTTTAAACAAGTGAGGCTCTAGCGCAACATTCAATAAATAAATCTGCTTAAATTACAAAATAAAATTACGTAGAATTTCTTTTAAAACTGCGACCCCAAAACCCCCAAGTAATGAGTACGAATCTGAAGTCAGATTTTTAAAATTCAAAGTGGCAGATTCAATATGGCGTTTGAAATTTATAAAAGTTCGTCGAATTCACTTGAAACTTGTTACTTGAAGGTTTTTGGGGTTGCTGATTACGAATTTGATGTCGGCTTTTCAAAATTCAAAATGGCGGATCCAATATGGTGGTAGAAATTTATAAATGTTATTATGTTATTATCAGCGACACGAAAACCCCTAGACACCAAGTTTTATAAAAAATAATTAATATTTATAAATTTCGACCGCCATATTGGATCCGCCATTTTGAATTATTAAAATCTGACATCATATTCGTTATCAGCGACCCCAAAAACCTTCAAGTAACAAGTTTCAAGTGAATTCGATGAACTTTTATAAATTTCGACCGCTATATTGAATCCGCCATTTTGAATTTTGAAAATCTGGCATCATATTCGTAATCAGCGACCCCAAAAACCCCTAAGTAACAACTTTCAAATGAATTGGTGAATTTTTATAAATTTCGACCGCCATATTGGATCTGCCATTTTGAATTTTGAAAATCTGACATCAGATTCGTAATCAGCGACCCGGATAACCCCGAGATACCAGTATTCATAAAAAATTCTTTATTTGTACAAGATTTCCTACCACCTTTCATTTAAGGGTTGTTTTTACCCCTAAAAGCAAAAAATGACCTGATCTAGCAAAACGGCCAGACACGGGTATCTTTTTTTTGGTCCTAGTTTCTGAAAATCATTGATTTTTTCGTGTGTGAAAAAAAAATTTGAATTTTGTCGGACGGTGGAGTACTTATGAAAATTGAAATGAAATTTGATTTAGTAGGTTTTTTAACCCTCGGAGCACACACCTCTTTTTTCGAACAAGTAGCACAGTCTTGGTCGCTGTGACCCTGTTTACTTTACAAAACTCCCCCATTTTTGAACTATTGGACTGATCAACACAAAAAAAATATTTTTTTATTCATTGAACCTTGTAAAATAAGAATATGAAGTTTAGAAATATTATTAAATTATTTGCATATTGAAAAAAAATTCGTGAAGTTAACTAATTAAAAAGAAAAAATTGAATTTAAAGAAAAATGTAACTTTTGTAATTTTTAATATTTTAAGCTAAAAATTGGGATTTATATGTGTGTTAGAATAAGGGAAAAAATACAACCTTATTTTATTTTTTAAAAAAGGTATTTATATTGTAGTTTAACGAAGGTAACTTTTAAGACGATAAAAATGTGATTTTCGACACAACTTTTTAAAACTATACTTTTTTAATAACATATTTACTAGTATTTTATTATTTTCTTTGGATTATCATGTTACTTATTATTCCTTACTAGTTAGTTACCACTATATGGCCTTAGGTTCGTGTTGTATTGCCGACTTTTCAAATTACACTTCATTGAAATTAATGACAGGGTCTGTGTGACCCAGTATGTGCTCCGAGGGTTAAGGTGCTTGTATACAGAGTTCATGATCGAAATACTAAAAGTTAGTTTTTTTAAAAACGGCCAGATGGATTATTTTCATTTTTGTTGGAAAATACTCAGGGAGATCTCTACTGTTGGAATCCACAGAAAAATCACATTTCGCAAGACTTTTTTTTAAAAGATGGTTCAAGCCCACCGTGTACGTCGTTTACGACGTCATTATTTTTAACTGGGATTGGTATCAATTAATTGCAATTTGATACTTTCAAATTAAAAGTGTTACTTTGGCACTTTGAGCTGTCCAATAGATTTTAGTCCTGACATGAAGGAGACAAACGAGTAACAAATTTGGATTCAGTAACCAAAAATACTGTAGGATTACATAATCCGGTTCCGTGAGACTAATTGTCAAAAACTAAATTAAAGCAAGATTAAAATTTTTTTAATTGATATTTATCTCGATGATAATAATTTTGATTAAAGTCTAGATTTAGAATTGTTTTCTTTAAAAATTAAACCTAAACGAGGAATTCGTTCAGCACCCATAGCACTGAAACTTTCCTAAAGAATTATTTGAAATGTTCGGAATATTTAATTGCAATTTTTAGTAAAAATTGTGTAGATTTAAATGTCCCGATTAAATAAATGTTTAGTGTGAAACTTTGTAAAACTTTTCTGAACATTTATTCAAGTGGGACATTTAAATTTTTACACAATTTTCACTAAATATTGCAATTAAATATTCCGAATATTTCAAATGAATCTTTAGGAAAGTTTCGGTGCTGTGGGGGAGGTTTCGTTTAGACTTCGTATTAAATTCTTACAAAAGAATTCGTGTAGCGGTTTGAAACAGAATTCTATACGAATTTTGGACGTTTTTTGAAAGGAATTTTTCTCTTTAAATTCGACCACTTTTCCGTATGATATTCATGCGAATAACTAACAAATTTTTAAAATAATTTCACTGTGCTAGTTCTAATGAACAAACTGGGCGTACCGTGTATTAATCTTATTTGGGTGCGCTGAATTCAATGGCATCCCAATCGAAAATCCAAAACTTCTTTAGAGTGTCCGGAAAGCCTTTGGGAAGTGTAAATTAAGCGAAAGCAGGTTTATTGGTTAAAAAAGAGTGCGTCATTTGAAGTGACAAACTTTTGACCAATGAGCGCACAAAAAACAAAACCTCAAATGATTCTAATGACATAAAAAAACAATGGAAGCGTTTAGAAAGCGAAAAATCGGACATAACATGCCCCCTAACTTTTACAATTTTTGACTAAAACGATAAAATCCTTGATTTTTTTCGGTCAGTCGTAATTATTCACCTAAGATTTTTTTTACTCGTTTATATTATAAGCCACAAATTTAATTTAATTTGGTTTAATTTTAATTTTAATTGGGTGAAATTTAGTTTAGTTATGTAATACGAAAATATATAAATCGGAAGTTCGTCCTAAACCGAAAGGTATGTGGACTATAAATAAATAAATAATAATACTATAAACCAGATATATAAAAATAAAATGATTTCCTTTTTTTCTATATTATGTCAACAAGATAGAATTTCTATTTAACCAGATTTTATAAAGTAAAATTCATAGCTCATAAAAATTTTAAACAGGAATCTATCGCAAAAATAAATTTTTAAAAATTATTCAAAACTAATTTTTTCGTTCATGTCCTTCTTTAGCATATAAAAATTCAATAAATAAATCGATCAACTCCAATCGTTCTCGCTATATTTTTCCTGTAATCTATACGCAAAAATACGCATGTATACCAAATATGAACTGTCTTGGTCAAATAGTGTGTGCGCTAGGAGGATTAAACGCTTTTTTTCAAAATTTTTGATTTTTCCTTGACAACGCTATGTAAATCGATCCGAATCATGTTCGCTATATTTTTCCTGTAATTTTCACGTAAAAATACATAAGTGTACCAAATGTGAGCTCTCTATGTGAAAAAATGTGGCCACCAGGGGGGGAGGGGGTACAAAGTCATTTTTAGGGATTTTTCGTAAAAATTCATGGTTTTTCCTTGACAGTGCTATGATAATCAATTCCTATGAGATTCGCTATATTTTTCCTGTAATCTACACGTCAAAATACATATGTGTACCAAATTTCAGCCCTCTAGATAAATTCGTGTGGCCGCTAGGGGGGGGGGGTACATGGCTTGCTTCACTAGTCTCATTAATAGGGTTCCCCCTTCGGGTACGAAACCCTAAAATGTTGAAAAAGTCGTTTAATCTATTGAATTAGTATAAATTTATTAATTCCACTTTATAAAATTTTGCTGAATAAAAATGAATTCAATTATGAGATTCGTTCCACTGGAAATTCGAACTACATAAGGAACTAATGAACCGTATTATGTAAGAGAACATTTTTGACCAATAGAGACTAAGATTTAAAAACTTCATGTTGATTTCAACTTTAATCACTAAATTTAAAACAGATAAGTTGTAATTCAACTTGGAAACTTGAGATTTTCTTCATTCAAATACATGAAATTAAATTTTCAGAACGATATTTCATAAAATTCCCTGACATTTCTAGGTTTTCGAGGTTTCGCATGACTAAACAAAATTTCAATCACAATTCCAGGTCTGTGGCAACCCTGTTAATTTCATACAAAACAAAGAAAATTTAAGCCATAATATTATGTTCAGAGGAAAAAAAAATGGTTTTTATATAATTTTAATGTTTGATGAATTCTTTAATTTTTTTATGAGATCAGTGAGTGCAAAATATTATTGAAAATTTAAGTACGAAAAAATGTATTATCTAAAATATATATAAATTATTATTGCAGGCAGCATGAGATGCAAAATCTTTATCGTTTCATTGTTATATGGAAGGGGCTAAGAAACGGAAAACTTTCGTTGATAGTTTTCACTGTAATTCATCTTTTTTATTACCAATGAACTTCAATAAAAAAAAATAAAATTGCATATGCAGGAGGTAGCAAGGAAGACTGTCGCCTGCAGCTGTTGAGGGGCTAGTGCAGTGTGTAAAGTATAAAACAGTTAATACAAAAGATGGATTGTCTTTTCAGTTTTTAAGTGTTTCCATGTTGAAAAAGTGTGCGTCTTTATTCCAAAGGTCAACCAAAATACGAGAAACTTGAGGATCAGGAAATCTATCCGTCCACGATTTTATGAAACCATCAAAAGTGGCATCGTAAGTCTTCAAATCAATTTTCGTTTCGTCATTTTCTGAAAAAGAACATTATTTTTAATTATTCTTGTTGAAAGGGAATAAAAATGAAAAACACTTATTGGTCCACTTACTGTCAACACACGTGTTCGATTGGACGAAAATCTTTCTCGGTTGCTTATTGGCGAGAACAATGTCTCTCCATTTCGCCCAAGGTTGAGGACCAGCCTCAGGTACTTCGCTGTACTTATCGTACATTCTCTTCGCCTCCTCGATATCTCCAGTACTTTTGTAAATTTGAAGTTTCTTCAGAAATTCACCAACGGCTTTCCTGCCAACTGTATTAAGCTTACTTCTGTCAACTTTCAAACTCAAGTTCTTTCCCGGTTCCGTCTCTTCCACGGTGACGAAATTCTCTCCAGCCTCGATGCAAACCCTCATGAGGACGTATCTTGCCTGGGAGTGCGCCTGCAGCCAAGTCTTCGTCGAGGGTTCGTACATCTCGAGAGCCTTTGCGCACCCAGCCCATATCAGTGACATCCAATTCACGTAGATTATGTCGTCAGCTTCTGGTCCCGAGTGACCGAAAATACCGAGAACGTCCTTGTCCAGACTCAGGTAAAGTCCAACTGCCTCGGCTCTGCACTCTTCGTAGCTGGAACTGATAGTGCCGAACTTGGAGTCGTAGGTTTCGCCTTTCATGTAAAACTTGTCAATCGGCTTCCCAGTGAGAGGATTCACGACTGTGCTTGGATCGAAATTGAAAGTGTCGTCATTGTCTTTTTTCAAAAGTTTCCCACTCCCATGTCCAAGCAGTTCGTGGAGACCAACCTGAACTTCGAAGCTTGGAACTCGGTGTTTGTGCATCAGCGTCTGATCTTCATCAGTCAAAAACATCATGACGTCCTGTTTCATATTCGCCGGAATCACGTTTCCCAAGGAGACGTTTTTAAATCCTTCCGATTGCTTAATTTCATCGTAGTTTGGAATATTTATCCCCGCCGGAATTCCCGAGCCACCGAACGTTAAAACATCAAGGGAAGTAAAGTCAGGCCTCAGAAACGCGTCCTTTTCGAAATCCCGACCCCATGGTAATCTCGGTAAATATTGCTCTGCTTTGTCCACTAAATCGGCAAACTTCTTAGACATTTCTTTATTAACCATCGCCACGAAACCTTCAAACTCTCCACGTTGACCAGCTGGATCTCTGTAAGTCTCGATAAATCCAATGTACGTCTCTATGACTGGAGATTTATCCTTGACCCAAAATCTAGAACCATTTTTGTGCTCTTCGAGGGAACCGCTGCTGAAGTGAGCAATATATCTGTCCAACATACTTTTTTCCGTATTGTTCGCAGCGTAGGCTTTAGCTTTCTCGAGATTTTTTACTACGATCGCCAGCAACTGACTATAGTCTCCTCTCGTAATTTTGAACTGCGAGTCTGTTGACATTTAAAAATATATTAGATTAAATAGATCTTAATTATTATTTATTTATTAAGCTTCAGCCTTTCGGCCCAGAAGTGGACTTGGTTTAATACTCAATTAAATATAAAAAAATTTGTTGTTCACGTGACACCCATATCAAAACTTGACATTATTTTTACATTTTTTTGTGTTGCCAAATTTTCCTACAAATTTCTATTTTACAATCATCACAACTATCATCAGTTAACATCTTAACCCTGCATACCTTATCACCACCGAATTTTTCACACCATTTACTCGCTATCTCACAATCATATACATAATGCTCAAAAGAGTCCCATCCTTTAAATAGATCTTAATTTAAAGAGTTATAATTATTAAACTTTTATTATGGTATCCTAAAATACGTTCTTCTCGTACATTAATAATGCAGAATTAATATTTAAAAAGGTTTTCTTTTTGAAAAATTAAATCTAAGAAAATTTACTGAATAAATAGGTTAAAGAAACATTTTTCCAGTTAAAAACGATTTGTTGTTCTTTTCGAACGCAATATGCAATAGAAAAATAAGCGGAGTGTTAATTCTAATTATTATGAAACTCGATAATATTTTGCTTTTGGATTTAAAAAAATATTTGGATACATAAAAAATTAATTCTACGATTTAATTAATTTTATTAAAGTATTTTATTTAAAATTAAGAGTTATTGATTTATAATAAAAGAATGTTTCTTAAATATTCAATATCGCTGTCAAAAAAAGTGAAGAAAGAAATCCTTTTAATATAATTTTAATTTTAAAAACGAATTTTTTTCGTTTGTGTGCAAAAGTTATTTATATAGGCTAAAAGCAAGTGATAATATTGTGACGTTAGAAATCATTTATGAGGTTAAACTTTATGAAAATATTAAAAATGTTATCTTTTCAAATAATATTAGTTATTAATTAAGTTTTTAGTAAGTTGTTTTAATCCAATAATTAAAAATCAGTTAAAAATTTTATTATCATGAAAAAAGCAATTGATAATTATTCCGTTTTTGCCCTGACAAACTTTTACTTCATTCTTGACCGTAGCGCGTATTTTGTTTCATTTTTCCAGATAAAAACAATCTTAAACTATCGTTTAAGCAAAAAAAAAAATTGATTTTTTTTCGGGTCAAAGGAATCATTCCCTCTTAAATTAATAGTTCAATATATTTTTAATTACAGTGGATGATAGTAAATAAAAAAGTTATTAAAATTATAATATAAAAATATTTAATTTGAATATTTTAAAGAAAAAGCGTTTGTTTTTGTAATGACTTACTTTTGAATGTTTCTTCAGATGAAGTTATACTGTTATCATTGCTCTCTTCTATGGATGCTAATCTTATTTCATAAGAGGCAACTCCATTTTCTGTTGTTTTAAAGCATCGGGTATTGTATGATTCTAAGCCTTTGTGCAGCATGAATTCATTGATTAAATCTGCATCTTCCATTGTACAATTGGATGAAAAATAGGTCGTGATTCCTTTATCTCCCAGGCCCAGAGTCTTTAATTTCCCTTCCACTGAAAAGACGATGCCCTTTATTGCATCAAGAATAGATTGAAAATTTTTGGTTTCCTGCTTGTAGGCGACGGATGATTTAATTACATCAACGAATTTCTTCTCCGACATGTTAGGAATTATTTTACTATCGCCAAAAGACTTGTAATTGCCAGCATTCGAGAAGAAGCCGTTTGCAAAAACCAAAAATGCCTGCAAATGTTAAGTAGCATAATTTTAATAACTGAAATAAGCATTTTATGATTTTAAAAAAAGTCTTACAGTGAATTCATCTTCAGAAACACCAGCAGCCAGCGATGATGTCTTTAGACTCTCAATGGATTCTGCCAAAAAAACTTGATGAAGAAGAGCAAAAAGCAGTGGTGACTCCGGAGAAGTTTGTATAAATGTAATGAGACTTCCATTCCAGGCTGCCTGACTTAAATAGTGAGCGTAAAGTTTCTCTCTGTCAGTTAAGGCATCAAATGCTTTTGTACATTCCAAATAAACAACTGGTTGATTATTTGGTAAGGTGTATAAAGATGTATTACTACTCATTGTTCTATGGTTCCGAATTCTACTGTAAACAAGACAGAAACAATTAATTTCAGTTATTGTAAATTTCAAAAATGTTTAATTTTATTAAATAGCAATTTCCTTTCACAATTCGAACAGTTATTTTAAAATAAACTAAAAATACCATGCACAAGAAGATGGAAAATTTTTTTTGTGCTCAAATAAAACTACAAAAAATATGATATTTTTTCCCCTAATTTTTCAATCACTCTCTGAATTGGGAGAAAATTTTCTGTTAAATAAATAAGAGTTTCATACAATTGTAACATTTTTAAGATTAGAGAAACTTTTTGTTAAATTTACAATTATCAATCCTTAAGTTTAAATTAATGTTAAATAAATGTTTTTGAACCTGTTACTTTTAAAATTTTAAAATATTTTAAGAATATTAATAACAAATATGTAGATAATTTTATACTTTTGTTTGCTTTGTTGTTTTGAAAGTGTTAAGGGGAGTCATCACCTTTATTTTGAGTCCTTTAAATTTTAATGATCGCAGGAAGTTATATTTTTTTCTTGCATCATTTCGGTCCTAAAAACATGCAGGATGGTCGAAAAGATGATATTTTAATTTTTAAACATTTTAGAAATTAAAGTCTTAAAAAAATTAATATTTTAAATATCAATCTTCTTTTACAATTTTTACAATTTTTCATCGTCAAATTTTTTTCACACTTTTTTAATAATTCTTCAGAATCTCTCGCATGGATTTTCAAAAATATTAATTTTTTCACAAAAAAAATTCTAAAATGGTAAAAAATTAAAATTTTCTTTTTTTTGACCACCTTATGTTTTTAGGACCGAAATGATGTAAAAAAATATAACTTCCTGCGAGCATTATAATTTAAAGGACTTAAAATAAAGGTAGTGACTTCACTTAAAAATTTTTGTAAAAATGATAGTTTCATCAAATTTTAAAACAGATGATTGAAAACGATGAATTTATTATTCATATTTTTTGAAAAGTTTATTGCACAAAAATCATTTCTATAAAATTTAATGTGTAAATATTTATTTACTTTTTTGTCTCTAATTAAAGAATACACATTACACTGTGAAAGTAACAAATCTTAAAAAACATTCTATTATTTGGCTTTAATTCGAACTGGAAATTTCAAAATTATAATTTTCACAAATGAACTGAAACTTTTTTTTAACCCGAATGATAATGAAATCAGAATGAACCGGCACTATTGCAACTTAACCTATAACAAACTCTTGTATATATTTCGTTAAACTGGTTATTTGACTTTATATCCTTATCTATGAATTTATCATGTTTTTATAGTTTATTTTAATTGTTATGTTACAGAAAAATTTTTAACATTATGATAAAAAAACTTATTCAACCTAACCGGTATTTTTCTCTGAGTCAAAAAAATAAATTACATACATAAAAATATTAATAAATTAAATGAAATGAAATTTTGGATTATTTTTCTTGCATACATTATATATAACACACCTTAAATTATTTTCTAAATTTTGAAAATTTCTTTTGATTATTGAAAAAGATGGCTTTACAATTATTGTTTGAAATTTGACAGATCTAATAATTAAATCTGATTTACTAAATAATTTAAGCATTATTTTTAAAAAAATTCCACTAATTATTTTCCCCTATATAGTGCATACGTATGCACCTTTCACCGGAGGCTGTGGCAGATACAAAAAATGTCATCTCACTGTCAACACATCATTTTATTTAAAATAGAAAATGAATTTAAAATTTGTATAATTAGCAAATTATTTTTTTAAAAATTATTTTAATCATAAAATTAAAAAAAATAAATACAAAATATTACTATACCTTCAATTAATTCAAGAAATTTAAATCAACTATATATATTTATTTATTTAGTTGCTAAACCGAAATCTAAAAATGACTTGAGTCATAATCTCGAATTTACTCGAATTAAAGAAAATCGATGATATCGAAAATCTCGAATTAAGGTACTTCTATACCTGTGGATTCCGCAGAGCGAGTGCACTAGAAAGTGAATAAACTCTGTAGAAAGAGACAAATAGTGTTATACACTCGTGGCCAGATATACCTACACATTTTTGTCCTTTTGTTGTCATGACAACATGTACGTTATTAAAGGACAAAAAAGTGTAGGCATATACGGCCAAGACATACTTGCCCTTCTTTTTTCCTTGTCTATAACGCAGTATTGAATGTTTTGTAGTTAATGATAAACAACAAAAATTGTATACAAAGAAAATGATTGATTTGTTGAATTAGATAATTTAATTATTTATTGTTGAAGAAATATATCCCGTCCAATCGAACGGACAGTATTAATGCATTTGAGTGTATAAGCTAATTTTTTAAATATCTTACTCATAAAATTTTTAAACTTAAGGGCGCACTCACACCTTTTGGCTGCCTGCCTGCAGGAGTTGTCATGGCAACGTGTAGGAGTAACAGAGAGAGAGAGAGAGAAAAATTCCAATTTGAATTTACTATCTCTGTTACTCCTTCACGTTGCCATGACAACTCCTGCAGGCAGGCAGCCAAAAGGTGTGAGTACGCCCTAACCCCTTAAAAATAAAATATCCTAATATTCGAAAATTTCATTTAAGTATGATATTTAAAAAATTAGATTTTATCTTATATAGGCCTTTTTCCAAAAGGTTCCTAAATGTGACGCTCCGCGACAAAAGTGACCTTAGCTCTCGAGCGTGTATTTTACAGGAGGCGCGTTTAAGGCGAAGACAGAATGTAAAAACTCGAGGCAGTGGGGAGACATGCCCGTCTTTAAACCATTATACTGTCAAAAGCATTTGACATCTACTATTTCTGTTTTTTGCAAATGACAGAGCAACTCAAAATCTATCGATTGGCATCGAAAACTCGAAATCGATTTTTTTGAGCTAAGGTCCCTTTTGTCGTAGAGCGTCACAAATGTTTGCGTAGCGTGACTGACGCGTTGGTTCGCAAGCGCAGTGACGTCATCAAAGCATTGATACCAATCGCGAACAAAAAAGTTTGGTTTATGTTCCTCTTATCCCTTTTTTCCAACGTTACAATTTTTAATGCAAATGTTTCTCGACGGCTTTTAATAATTTTAATTATTTAATATTTATAATTAAAAAATTCAGTTTCTTAACCCCTTCACTGTTATTGACCTCTATAGAGGCATAAAAATGTCGTGCCACCAGTGTACATGACCGCTATAGCGGCATCTCAAAAAAACCACATAGGCACACAAAAAATAAAGGTGCTTATATACCTCAAATTTCGATCAGATGAACATTATTTCTGGACCGTGAAAATGCGTGAAAAGTCATTTTCACGGCGGGTATTTTTGAATTGTTTTAAACAAAAAATGTTTTTTTAAGAAATATAATATTAAATAATTGTTTTAATATGTAAGAACACTTTAAAATAGTGATAGAGAGATGATTTGATTAAAAAATTTAGCAAATTTTGCTTTAAAACGTTTTCTGCTACAAGAAAGTGTAAAATGACGATGTTTGTGAAATGGTTTGTACAGTGCTTCTTCCTTGTGAGTGTCTCTCAGAGTTTTGTTTATGTTATGTCGTTTCTTTTTAACTTGTAATGAATAATGAGTGCTGAAAATAAATCGGTAAGTTGAAATGTTTATCAAATAAATTTAAATTCTACTAATTGTTTCGAATAACTGAAAGAAACATGTACACATGTACACTGTACAAACCATTTCACAAACATCGTCATTTTACACTTTCTTGTAGCAGAAAACGTTTTAAAGCAAAATTTGCTAAATTTTTCAATCAAATCATCTCTCTATCACTATTTTAAAGTGTTCTTACATATTAAAACAATTATTTAATATTATATTTCTTAAAAAAACATTTTTTGTTTAAAACAATTCAAAAATACCCGCCGTGAAAATGACTTTTCACGCATTTTCACGGTCCAGAAATAATGTTCATCTGATCGAAATTTGAGGTATATTTCTTAAAAAGCTGATTGGCCGAGATACTACACTAGTCTATTTCCATGTATTTTTTCACGCTGAATCCGAATCCAAAGTCAGAATTATCAGATTGGCTTTTATTTTTGAGATAAACTCAAAAAACTGCTCAGAAAGAAAAATAAAATCAAAAAGTTAAAAAAAATTTGAATGTCACTGCGATAGTGTAATTCCATGTATTTTTTGTCGCTGAATTCGAATTCGAAGTCAGAATTGACAGATTGGCTCAAATTTTGAAGAATATTCCAAAAAACCGATTTTGAGTATTTTGAGTTTTTTGTTACTTGCTTTTTATTGCAATTATCTCAAAAATTTGAGCAAATCTAACAATTCTGACTTTGGATTCGGATTCAGCGACAAAAAATACATGGAATTACACTATCGCAGTGACATTCAAAAATTTTGTAACTTTTTGATTTTATTTTTCTTTCTGAGCAGTTTTTTGAGTTTATCTCAAAAATAAAAGCCAATCTGATAATTCTGACTTCGGATTCGGATTCAGCGTGAAAAAATACATGAAAATAGACTAGTGTAGTGTCTCGGCCAAACCACATTTTACTTTTTGTGTGCCTGTGAAATTAGTAGACACAAAATATGATAAATTATCGATAGTTTACTTCATTATTTTAATAATCGTTTACTTCATTATTTTAACAATACAATAAACTTGTCAATGGGTATTTTAGATTTTCGGGTTTTTTTAATATTAATTTTTAAAAAAAAATTTTTTTTTCCCACATACGGGGCACTGAAGCTTTATTTTTGCTTCACTGCGAAAGGGGTTAAAATCATAAACCAAACTTTTTGTTCGCGATTGGTGTCAATGCTTTGATGACGTCACTGAGCTTGCAAACTGTCACGTCCTGGAATCAACAGAAATATATTTCCGTTGGATCTGCGTAGCTTAACAAAGGAAAACGGATTCTTGAATCACGTTGTCCTCTTGAAAGCGGATACTGCTTAAAATTTGAATTGACGATGAATTCGAAATTACTTATTTTAATTATAATAAGTAATTTATGTTGTAGGATTCTTCAACAAAACACAGATTTAAATTGGAAAAACCCTTTCGGGAAAAAAACCAATTTTATTCAAGCTTGAATATTTATAATTCTTGAAGTTAAATAATTCAGATTATTAATGTCTCTCTGAATTATAGTTATTTGAATATTTAACGAAGCACTAATTGTTTGTTCATTCAATATTCACAATTGTTAACAGTTCACTTATATGTTCAATTTATTTAAAAGGGACGATTAAAAATCGTTTACAGTATTTCAATAAAATTGCATAATACACTTAAATTATTAAATTCAATAATAATTAATTGTCAATTTATTCTTAATTAAATACTGAAACAAACACTGATTTTATATATCAGAAGTCACGAGATATGCGATTGTGAATAATCTCAATTATCGAACAAGTCTCTCTAAAGTCCGGCCTAAAAGCCGTCCTTATATACCCTGTAAAAGTGGGAGAGGTAACCCCCTCCCATTTGACCAACCAATCATATTTCAGCTGACGTCATGACGGACCAATGAGCGTCGGTTGCTCAAGGGCACTCGAGAAAATCAATAAGGTTATTCAAGTTGGGTGGGGGAAAGCCAAGATGGATGATGGCTGGTGCACAATCAGCCTATCAGCATTCATTCCCACGAGGAATTTCTCATGGGAATGAATGCTGATAGGCTGATTGTGCACCAGCCATCATCCATCTTGGCTTTCCCCCACCCAACTTGAATAACCTTATACTTTTGGTCATGCGCAGTTTCCAACTGCGCAATTTCCTAACTGCGTAATAAAATCGCAGCCATATTGGATTTTTACTAAAAAAATGTTAATTTTTTACCCATTTACATAATTAAATAACAATTAAAGCTGCATATTGTTATTATATAATAATTATCCAATAAAATATGTAAATATTTTATAATATTTTAGGTTATTAAATCTATTTAATAAAAATAATGGTTTAACTATGCTTAGAATAATTTTATATTGAAATAAATTGAACTTGAGAAGTTTCTCGATAAATTTCTCGGCATATTCATTTATATTTTAAATTTCCCTAGGAGAAATATACTAGTGACTAGACCCAATCGTCACACAAACCAACGCGTCAGTCACGCAACGCAAACATTTAGGAACACCAGGTAATCGCCATCTTGGATTTTCCCCCACCTAATTTGAACTACCAAATTGTAGTCTTTATGGAAGACGAAGTAAAGTTGTTGTAGAAGCAGCTTAAAAATATTCAAGCATACATGTGAAGATCAAAATACAAAACATGTGTTGTGAATCATGACTATCTAGTAGGATAGGATCAGATAGAATTAATTCTAATAACTGAAGCACTTTGAAATATACAGTGTTATATACATTTATAAAAATGAGCAGTGAAAACAGCAGCGATGAAGAAATATTTAAGAACGATAAAAGTCGGGTTAGTATTATTATTTACAGGTTAGAAACTTTTGCATATTTATTCAAAATTTTAATAGTTACTCTTGTTGTAATAACAGTTAAAAAAAGAATATATTTTAAAAATTCAAGTCCACTTAATGAGTGAATTTCCCTTCAGTTCAAGTGTTCTTATTAATTTCGCTCAAGCAAAACGTGAAATGAAATTAAAATGATTAGGATATTTTAATAAATAAATTACATTTCAAATGGTGGAAGTTTATGTATCACTGGATATGCTCATAAAATAAGTGCAAAAATTGTAATTTAAGAAGAAAAAATCTCAATAATATATTTATTTTCATCAATACAATTTTCATATAATACAAGATAAAAAAATAATGAAATTTAAAAACAAATTCGGACAAGAGTGTGTTTAAGAGGGGGTTACGTATTTAATTTTCTTTTTGCATTTTTTTAAATGAATGCATAATATTTCAAGAATATTGTGTAAAAATTTCAAGTCGATCGTAACAAAATTGACGAAGTTATGAACATTTGAGCAGGGCGTGTTTTTCGATGTTTTGATTGAGTTTGTGTTTAACCCTTTACGGACATTTCTGAATGTTTTCTGATGTCATTAATGTATGTATATCAGGGTTTCTAACGGTCAGGGAATTATTAAGATTGTGATATATCTTATATTATTTCTTATATTCATTAAGTAAATTATATTTATTAACTCGACGTTTCGATGGTAGCCACCCTCCTTTTCAAGAGATTACAAAATCTAAAAAATAATTTAAAATGTAGTTTTGATATCTATGAGAAAATTAACATTTTTGTTTTAAGATAGAAGAAAACGTGAGAATACATACGTGAGACATAATTTATTATATTTAGGAGTTGAGATACAACTCTTTACCATAAATGTTACATTTTGAAAGTGTTTTTTTTATTTATATATTAAAAAAAACGTTATTTGTTTTTAAATAAAATTAACTGTCAGAAACTTTTATTACAGTTTTTTGTTAATTTTCTCATAGATATCAAAATTACATTTTAAATTATTTTTTAGATTTTGTAATCTCTTGAAAAGGATGATGGCTACCATCGAAACGTCGGGTTAATAAATATAATTTGAGTTAACAAATGTCTCAATATGTTAACCTTTTTTAAAAAAATATTTGGATTTCTGGCCAAAAATAAAATATTAATATAATTTCAAAATCCAAAAAACTTAACAATTTTAAAAAAAGTAAAATTTAAACTAATAAAAATTTAAGTTTTTTTCCATTTTTATAATTATTTTATGTAAATAATTATGTAATCTTTTCTTTTACTTACTAGTATCATAAAATAATCAAATTTTTTTTTAAATTTAAGTAATAAAATATTTTTATAAGCTATGGAATATTTCGTTTAAAATTTGTTCAACCTAATTATTATATATATGCTAATTTTTAATTGTACAATTTATAATTGAATTTATTTTTTTCGTATCTGATTGTTATTAATTCAAATGCGAAAATTAACAAGAAGTAAATTTAACAACACGTTATATTAATAAACCTTAATTTTTTATAACCTTTTTTAAATAAAGTCATTATTGAATATAATAATTATTTTTCAAAACTTCAAATTAATTGTAAAATTAATTTTTAATAACAAAAGTCCAACAGCTGTTTATACCTGACGGGCGAAATAATCTTTAATAATAATAATCTATAATAATCTATAAATAGTAGTAAATAATATTATTTAAGTTAACAAATGTCTTAATATGTTAACCTTTTTTTAAAAAATATTTGGATTTCTGGCCAAAAATAAAATGATATTAGGGCATATCTCTAGAACCTTTAACTTTAGTGTCCCTCGCATATATTTTGGCAATTTTAATAAATTTTTCGTTGGTTTTTGTTGGAAATATTAATGCTTGATACAATCAATCATTTCCAAAAGATTCCACTTTAATTTATTAAATACATAAATAATTATTTCAATTTTAATACGCGATTTTTAACAATGTCTACTTGTCCTTAACCATACTTTCTGATGCTTTAAACGATATAGTTTTAGATTTAATAAAAATTACTAATTCTGAAATATGTTTTTTCAATGTTAATTAATCGGTGAACACATTTTCGCAGGGAAATTAATATTTTATTAATTGTGAACAAATTTATAAGCTTTTAAAAGTTGTCCCTCACTTTTAACCTTTTCGACCGTAATCATCGTATTTATGATTTTTCTTTTATAAGACAAGCGGCACGTTAAAATAACTTATGGGAAATCAAAGATCAAATTACTATAATTATTTTGAGACATAATAAATTGATGTGCTTCATGTCTTCAAAAAACTATTATAAGTTAAATAAACGAAAACACGCGTGGACAAAATTTGAAAACAACCGTAATACGAGTGATACTTCATGAAAATCATATAAAAGTATTCGAAAAGTACTTGTATATATTTTCACATGTGCCATTTAACATCCCGTGAATGTGCTTCGAGAAAAAATACTTTATTGCAAAGATAATGTAAAAATATTCATCAATTACGGTCGACCGTGATCGACCGAAATTTTTTAGAAAGAAATTGTTATGTACGAAGTTGCCGATTATAATTTTTTTTATAGAAACTGTCATTAATTATTAAAACCTGAAGGTTAAGTTTTAATGTTTATTTCGAGACACAAAAATGGATCCAAAAAAATTCATTCTGAAAAAAGATAAGATGCGAGAGAAAAGAAAAAGAGATAAGAAATTGAAAAGTTTACGAATATTAAATTTAAATAGAAAAAAGTCTATGAAAATCGTATGGTAAATTTTAAAAATTACAATTTTACATTTTTAAAACAATTCACTATAATAAAAATCTATTTTAAAATGTAATGTAAATATTCAAAAAAAAATTTATATATCTAGTTAATTTTTGACACATGCTTTTATACCCAGTGCATTATTTCAGTATTTTATTATTCATATAAATATTGAAAATATTAAACGAATTTTATTGCTTTTTAAAATTATAACCCCTTAGAAAATTCCCTTCAACTGTTTTTTATCCTAAAAAGCAAACACCTGTTGAATATTTTTTTGTTACAGGTTAAAAATAATTCTCAATTTTAAATACAATATTACAATTAATTAATTTTTTTCAATGAATTATTTGGTTTTTTAATATAAATAAAAATTATTTGATACAATTTTATTTTATCGGTTCAGTTTCAAATAAAGTAAATTATTCATTAATACGAATAATTTATTACTTAATGCTAATATCCACATTTAATTTATAATAAATTTTTACGGCGTCGTATATTAAATTATCGAATTTATATTTAGCAAAATTGTATAAAGTGGATTTTATATTATGCAAAATTTTCAATTTACATTTAACTAAAATTCGATTTAAAAGAATTTCTATTTAGTAGAACTTTTATAAAGCATTTTTTCTAATATTTTTTTTTAATTTTAAATTAATATAATTTCAATTTGACGAAATTTATGTCTAGAAAAATTGACAAAAATATAACTGAGTAGAATTTTTTTAAAATGAGAATTCTGGTAAATAAGAATTTGTTCGAATTAAAATTTTCTTTAATAAAAACTTTGTTAATTAAGAATTCTGTTAAATAGAAATTCTGTTAATTGTGGATTTATTCAATTACAATTCTGTTAAGTGAATATTTCGATAAATCAAAATTTACTAAAATAACAATTCTGTTAAAAAAATTGTTCTTTATGCAATTTTTCTTTACATAAATTCTGTTAATTTGAAATTGTATTAATTTGAAATTGGATGTACTAGAAAAGATGCTTTATATAATTTTACTAAATATAAAAATGATAATTTAAGATTCGACGTCGTAAAAATTGTTATAAATTAAATGTTGAGAATATTTATACGTCCCCAATTAGTTTATTTATTTTACTTAAATATTTTATTTTTTTACGAAACATTATTTATTTGGTTCAAATACATATAAAATTAGTGGATGATTGACAGGTAAATGATTTAATTGTATCAAAATAAATTTTATTTCATCAAAATAAAAATTTTTTACTGTAATTTAGGTCAGGGAAAAGTATAAGATAATTTTTTTCCTAGCAGTTGTTGGACACCCTGGTATATGTTTTGGGGTTGCTGATTACGAATCTGAAGTCGGATTTAAAAGATTTTTTAAATTAAAAATGGCGTTTTTCTCGAAATGCCTTTTTTGAAGTCCGTGTTCACGATATCTCAAAATCTACTGAATCAATCGATTTGAAATTTAGCACAGTACTTCTTGACTTAAATTCCCAGGTATCTGCGAGAGTTTTTTTTTATTCTTTTAAATAATTACACAGGCACACAAAAAAAAGTCAGGTCCCAAAAAACACAACCCCATAATCCTATGTTTTTGGGGTCGCTGAAACCGAAAATGACTGTGAAAAATTTTTTTGCCGACCCATTTTCCCGCAACCACCCCCTTGCACCTACTCACGAGGGTTGAAGTTTCAAATTAAAAAAAAAATCGAGTAGGGTGTCTATTCCAATGTTTTTTGGGTCGTTTAATCCGAAAAACACCACTAAAAACAAATCCTCCCTTAACCCCGTACAACCCTCTGGGAGGGGGTTAAAATTTTAAATTTCACAAAAAGTCAAGTTCGGTGTCTAATCCTACGTTTTTTGGGGCGCTGAAACCAAAAGACATCACCAAAAATAAAGTTTTCTAGAAAGTTACCTATGATTACACAAATACGCACCAACAAAGTCTTATGAAAATTTATTTTTCTACACTTAGCGCTGTGAAAAATGAAATTCCAACCCCCTCCCAGGGGTTGTAGAGGGTTAAGGGAGTAAAGAATTTGTTTTTGGTGGTGTTTTTTGATTTCAGCGACCAAAAAAACATAGGAATAAATGCCGTACTCGACTTTTTGTAAAAATTGAAATTTCAACCCCTTCTCAGGGGGTTGTAGGGGGTTATGGGAGGAAAGGACATGTTTTTGGTGGCGTTTTTCGGTTTCAGCGCCCCAAAAAACGTAGGATTAGACACCGAACTTGACTTATGGTGAAATATAAAATTTTAACCCCCTCCCAGAGGGTTGTACGGGGTTAAGGGAAGGAAGGATTTGTTTTTAGTGGTGTTTTTCGGATTTAGCGACCCAAAAAACATTGGATTAGACACCCTACTCGATTTTTTTTTAATTTGAAACTCCAACCCCCGTGAGTAGGTGCAAGGGGGTGGTTGCGGGAAAATGGGTCGGCAAAAAAATTTTTCATGGTCATATTCGGTTTCAGCGACCCCAAAAACATTTAAATAATTCGTGAACAGAATCCTAGGTAAGCGAGTGTAACTTGCATTTTCTTAGAGAGAGGGATAGGTTTTTCCAATCATGTTTTACATATTTGTTCTATAATCTACGTAGAAAGAGCATCTACCAAGGAGCACAATTTTTTAAATATTTTTTTTCCAGAGCAAGAAATATAATTTAGCCAAAAAAGCGAAATTATTGTGTCAATTTTCAAAATTGTATAATTTTACTGAATAAAATTTAATTTTCTTTCTTTTTCGGGTAACAAGAATGGAATATAATGAAATTAAAAAATTAATTCTATTTAATTCACGAAAATCCCTTATATTATTAATTCGAAGCATAGAATGGAAATAAATGTTTATGAATCGTTTCATCAACCAAGTAGGTATATTTGGGAGAAAATTTACAAAATGAATTGTTTGAAATATATTTCCAGTACCAGAACTAAACTTTACTGTTTTGCTTCTGACATTGATATACCTAAATCAATTCCATTTTTAGATTAGAAACTTATTATTTGAGATTAAAATTATTTATTTATTTATTATTTCTTTTTGGTGGATTTAAGAATAGTTTATATATTTTATCTAATGAAACTTCTTGAAATTAAAAATTTACGAAATATATTCTACTACAGAAATACAAGTTGCATTTTGGAATAGACATTTTGCTTGCTATTTTTTTTTTAATATTTAAAGTTTGTTATTTTTACAAGTTTTAATAAAAATTTAAACCCTGCTTTTAAATTATATAAATATATTTTAGGAGAATTTAAAAAAATGTTTTTATTTTAGAAGTAACATTTTTTAGTGTGAGAACATATTTTAAATTGCAATTGTTTGAAAACAATAAGAAATTTAAATTTTTTTATAATTGCTTTAATTGAACTGTAAAATATAGACTTGAAGCATTAATTAAAAAAAAAATGCCCCATTTATAACTAAATTAAAATTTTTATTTTAGACAGAAATTCGGACAGAACTTTCAAAAATGAGTTTTGCGGACTTGCAGAATTTGAAAGAAAAATTAGGTTCTAAAATTTATAATGAAGCTATGTTTGGAGCAAAAAAAATTAAGAAAACTATTTTCAAACGAGAAAACAAGAACAGACCACGAGAAGTTTCTTCCAAAAAGCGATGGTCTAAATTTAAAGAAGTCATTCCTGTAAAAAAAAATATCCCAAGAGATCCTAGATTTGATAGTCTTTGCGGTACTTATAATGAAAAGGCTTTTAAAAACGCATATAGCTTTCTCACAGAAGTTAAAAAAAATGATTTAGCTGCACTAAAGGAAGAGCTGAATAAAAATGCCGAGGATCCTAAAGCTGTTAAAAAAATTAAATATCTCATTCAAAGATTAGAAAATCAAATAAGAGAAGAAGGAAGAAGAAAGGAGGCAGATGAAAAGAAACAATTGGAGAAACGAGAAATAATTGAAACCATTAAAAGTGGTGAAAAGCCTAAGTTCAAAAGAAAATGTAAGTTAACTGCTTTTTTTTCACAAAATTTTACCTGAATCAATACCTTATATAAATGAATTAATGTAATCATGTGTAAATTTATTCTATTTTCAGCTGAAATAAAACTTTTAAATCTAGTATCCCAATTTGACGATTTAAAGAACTCTGGAAAACTCAAGAAGCACATTAAGAGGCTGCGTAAAAAAAATGCAAGCAAAGAGAGGAGATTATTAGAGGAATCCACTTCAGACTGATTTATTGTGTTTCATAAATGTTAGAAATAATAAATACTTCTTAATTTTATTGTTTTAAATAATGTTATTTTTACTTTTGTGTATTCAGATGTACAATAATACCTATTATTGTTTTTACAGCCTCTTATTGCTACATTATTAAAGACACACGTAATTTTATAATTCTGTCGATGAAATCTAAATGAGGAACTCCAAAAACACATCTATAATTTTTTTAACCCACAAATTTTTGAATCCGCAATTGTAAATTTGTAATTTTATTATGATAAAAAAATCTTAACCACACGGAAAAAACTTTTACATAGTTGATAATTTTAATTTGACTATAATTTTGTTATCGGATTTCAATATTCAAATCATCTGCATATATAAAGTATTTAATGCTAATTAAATATGAATATTATATTTTATCATAATTTAAAACGGACAGAAGGACGCGTTTTATTCTGTTTTACTTGAAGATTAAAAATAAAACAATATGTGAAAATTATTCGTTTTTTCTTGAATATATATTTTTTTTAACATAATGTGATTCCAATTTAAAAGGATTGCAACAGCAGTGGAAAAATTGTGTTGAAGTCATCGAGTGTAAATAATAAAAAATTTTCAAATTTTTATTTGACTTTTACACTTGTTATAAATGAACCTTCAATTCCAGAACAGAACAAATGACAGGGGAGAGTGGGGACTCGTGCTCCACCTTACTATTTTTAATATGGGAATTAATATGACAAATTTCAATTATTGTTATATTCTTTTCTCGTTAAAAACTAACTTTTTAAGTGGTACTCGTTATTTTTCACATTTCATAATTTAAATAAAGAATATTCTAAAAATTATATTTTTTTCTTCAATTTTCAACAGTGGAGCACAAACTCCCCACTGTTTTTGAAAAGTCATAAAACCAGTATTTTGGAAAAACAAGCAAAATTTCTATTTCCGTTTTGAATTTTAATTAATCCATCATGCCAAAAGTTGTGTTTCTACGTGTACTAAAAGTTCTATATAACAGAATAATCAAAAAGAAATTTATATAATAGTTTTGATCGAAAAACAAAACTTGGAGCACAACTCCCCACTCTCCCCTACTAATGAAATGTTTTCATTTCTTAATCTCATTATATAAATATAAATAAATATTAAACCCTAAAGAACACATAAAAAAGAAAAATTTCCTTATTTGTCAATGATTGTAATAAAAGAAAAAATCTAAAATCGATTACTTCGGTTTTGAGAAGTGACCTTTTAAGACTTATTTTTAATTTTTTTAACGTTACTTTTTATTAAATATTTGAAATATTCAAGAAATTTTTTTTAAATAAGCTAACATTTTAGGAATTTGTAGCTCTCATATAGGGCAACAATTTACCAAAATCACAAGTCAGTTCAATAACTTCTAAATTTTGACCTGGACAGATCAGGAATTTTACCCCATACATTATGAATGTAAAAATTATTCAAATACATAAATGATACCAAAGTTAATATTTAAGTTCTGTTATTGCTCATTTCATTTTTTTAGTTAACAAAATTATTTATTAACTATATTAAAACCATTCAAAAATTAGCATGTTTAATTAAAAACTAACTATAAGTCATTGCATAAGATTTAGTTTTTCGTTGCATAATTTGAAAATTTCCATCGACATAAAATCGTGTCCCTACTGATGGACCAATCTCTATTTTGACCTCAGAATCTAAAAGTGCGGCCCCAATACGCCCTAGAATCCACTGCTACTAAAATATCTGATCTTTTAATGTTTTAATTCTTACACTGAAGTTAAGGTAAAAATCTTGGACATTTGGAAGTTAATGGGTTAACGTATTGAAATAATATTCTAGTTTTTATAAAATATTAGTTGTATCAAATATTTTATTCTAGTTAAAATATTCGTGAAAAAATCACAGTTGGTGAAACTGGCCCTAAATAGGATTTGAAAATCAAAGTAAAGACCTTCTAAAAGGTGTACATAAAATAAATTTAATATTATTTTATTTTTAAATTCTTTCAAGTTGGATGAACTTTTTTACTTTGAAAAAATAAATTTAGTTTACTAACAGTAGCTAAAAATCGAATTATAAGATTTAATTTCTTTACTGTATCTCATCATTTTTGAAAACAGACAAACATCAAACCAAAAAGTGTTACAGAACATAAAATTAGTAAAAATTTCGTAAAATCAACAAATACAATAGTACTGTCTTTTTAGGAAAAAAGAAATAAATTGTTTATATTTTGTTGACAAATATTGTGAAAAAAACAATGTCTTAAGGGAAAGAAAATAATGCAGCAATTAACTCAATTATATAAAATCATTTATTGAGGAGCTTTACCACGTCCAAAACCACCGCGGAATTCCAAATCTCCAATACCTGCACCTACATCAGTTTTCTTTTCGCCACCAGCACCGCTGGGTCCTCTTCTGTATCCTGACCGATCTTCTGCTGGTCTGGAACCCTCAGTCCTTGGACCGGCAGCGGGCCTTGGCCTTGCGGTTTCCGACCTGGCTTGCCTCTTCAAAGTAGAGGGCACAATTTCGGGTGGAAGATGTAAATATCCTCTCAAGTATCCAATACCTTCATTAGTCAGATACCAATAGTAATGTCTCCATGCGAATTGCTCCTTCACATATCCTCTTGACTTCAAGGACTAAACAAATCATTTTTTATTACACATTTTTACTTAATAAATAAATAAATTTACTTTTTATTATTAGTCTATCAAGAGCTTTCTAATAATTAAATTAAATAAAAATTAACTACAAGTTACATAAGACATTAAAAACACACTATCAACAATTGAATCGCTCGAAACAATAAGGGGACGTACGCTCGGCTGAACTCTGTAAAGCCAGTCAAACGGTCAAAATTATGAAAAAATTGAAAACCGAAATTTTTATTTTTGAAAGCTACTACCTCATAGGAAATGAAGAGACGCATCTTTTTTTCCTTTGAGATTTTTTCGTAAAACGAATAGTTTAAAAAATAATAACAAAAAACAACAAAATTTAAATTCTCAAAATTCATTCAATTTTTAAACATAAACCATTGTATCTTCGATAAATATTAATGAATTTATTTGGAATTTAATATTAATAGTAATGAACAAATGTCTCACTGGAAGTTTGTTCAACTAAAAACTTCCCCACAGACTTTTTGACGGCAAAGATACGGGACGGTGATTATCGACGGGTCTCTATTAACAATTAAAAATTATTAAACATTTCACTTTTTTCAATTTTTCATTATGTTGTTGCCTTCTATGGACCGAAAGGCGTTTAAATATTAAATTCCAAGTAAATTCATTAATATTTATCGAAGATACAACGGTTTATGTTTAAAAATTGAATGAATTTTGAGAATTTAAATTTTGCTGTTTTTTGTTATTATTTTTTAACTATTCGTTTTACGAAAAAATCACAAAGGAAAAAAAGATGCGTCTCTTCATTTCCTATGAGGTAGTAGCTTTCAAAAATTAAAATTTCGATTCTTAATTTTTTCATAATTTTGACCGTTTGACTGGCTTTACAGAGTTCAGCCGAACGTACGTCCCCTTATTGTTTCCAGCGATTCAATTGACAGTCCATTAAAAATATTGTTAAAAAACATGCTCTTTTTTCTTTAAATATCTTGACAAATTAAAATTGTAACTTTTCGAAAATCAATGGAAAGCTTATTAAATTTCGTATAAAACGACATCGATTACAAGTATGTATTTTTATTAAGGTATTTCTCTTGATAATTATCATAAAAAAAATTAATTTCTATTTCAAGAATTAGAATTTTTTTTTTATTATATTTTTTGGAAGAAAATATGTCATTTTTTATGAAAAAAAAATTCCTAATTTAAATAAATTTACACACATTTTTATGTAATAAAATTTTTTTCTCATATCGCTATTACACATTTTTTAAAAATTTTTTTAATTTCTTTTCTGCATAAACATATTAATTACAACTTCACCAAAGAGAATTTCCAAAAAGTACACCGTTTCAAAAATATGATTATTTGTTTAACAAAAAATGCGCTTTATTTTACAAAAATTGCACTTCTTGTGTTAAACAAATAATTATATTTTTGAAAAAGTGCATTTTTTGGAAATTCTCTTCGGTGTAGTTGTAGTTAATATGTTTATGCAGAAAATAAGCCATAGTAAATAAAAATTGCATCATTTAAAAAAAAATTTGTAATATCGATTAAGAGAAATAATTTTTATTGTGTGTAAATAATCAATTTTTTTAAATTAGAAATTTTTGTTTTCAAATCATCATAAATAATTATTTTGCATTTAATTTTGTATATTCTGAGGTTCAAAATTCATCTTTTAACCTACTCAAGAATATTTGACTGATATTTTATCCAACGTTTCTTACCTTTTAAAAACATGATTTTTTTAATAATAGTTTAAAAACTTTTATATTACGTCAAAACTATTATAATTAGTTAGAAGAATATTTAAAAACGTATCGTTTGATTTATTTGAGCAATTATACTATTTTTACAAAATTATTAAAGTTGCAGAAACCAAAACATTAAAAAATTTCTTTTTGGATAATTTTAGTTTTTAATTCAAGAATGTTATTTTCTTTAAAGATTTTATTATTTAAATATTTATTGAAAAGCAAATAATTTAGAAATGAAAAAAAAATTAAAAATGTGACATAAGTAAGAAGAAATTTGACTGAAATAAAAAAATTAGATTTAAATTGCTTTTTTAATAGTTCTTTCGTTTAGACAAAATGAATAATTTATAATAATATCATTAAACATTTTTTTAATCACATTATAAGGCATTGTAAATTACCTGCATGGCTTTAATGACGTGAAGGTTTGGAATAGTTTCCAGTTCTGGATGTTTTGGTGCATGATAGTCTTTCATGGCTACCATTACACCCTCCTTAAAGAGGTACTCATAAATAGCAATACGATTCTTCTTGGGCATCAACATGCTAGAAAACAATAATAACTAGGATTAAAAAAATATATCAAAAGTGACTTTTTCGCTAAGTGTTAAAAATGAAAAATTTTAATAGACAATGTCAGAGTGTCTATCAACTGCTGGGAAAAAAATTCCTTGACTTTTTCCTGACCTAAATTAAACTAAAAAATTTTTTATTTTGATCAAATAAAATTTATTTTGATACAATTAAATCATTTACTTGTCTATTATTCACTAATTTCATATGTACTTGAACCAAATAAATAATGTTTCGTAAAAAATAAAATATTTAAGTTAAATAAATAAACTAATTGGTGACGTATAAATATTCCCATCATTTAATTTAAAAGAATTTTTACGTTGTCAAATCTAAAATTATCAAATTTTTATTTAATAAAATTATATAAAGCAGATTTTCTATTACATCGAATTTGAAATTAATACAATTTCAAATTAACGGAATTTATGTCAAGAAAAATTGCATAAAGAACAATTTTTTTAACAGAATTGTTATTTTAGTAAATTTTGATTTATCGAAATATTCACTTAACAGAATTGTAATTGAATAAATCCACAATTAACAGAATTTCTATTTCTAACAGAATTCTTAATTAACAAAGTTTTTATTAAAGAAAATTTTAATTCGAACAAATACTTATTTACCAGAATTCTCAT